GTTGTTGTTGTTCGTCGTCGTCGTCGCTGTTGATCTTGTTGACATTGTTGTTGCTGGTGTTGTTGTGGATGTCGTGTTCGTCATCGAATATGCGGGAAGTTCTGTGAAAAGCCGGTGTTTCCACGGTAACTGGTATGGTATTGACCCTTTGTCTTGCCATGTTGTTGTCAACAGCTACCGCCATGATTGTCGTAAAGACAGTTGGCACTGTTCTTGCTGTTGGGATAAACACAAGGGTACAGAGTAATGATGACCGTTATCGTTGCTTCTTCATGGACATTGTTTACACATTATCTCAGCCGAACTTCAAACTCTGATGCATGGAGAGAGACTGACCCACATCCTCTCCTTTCAACACGACTGCTGTGGGCAGGTCAAAGTCTTGATCGAGTGTCAGAGAGCCGCCCACAAGATGGGATTGCCAAGGCCACCGGGTTTGGCACCAAGGGCTCAGCATGGGCGTTTTGGGGCTGGGACCTATGAAAGCTTCCCTACCCTATCCGGCGCTCAGGGTCTCCGCAAATACTGATCTTGCCTGTTGCTGAGGCTGTCCCCTGCTACAGCTCTTCTAGAGGCTTTCTTCGACGGCCTGTATCGCGCAGAGGCACGTGCTTCTACATGTTCCGCTTTATGTTTCCATGCCGTCACTTGTCATCATGTGCCCCGCTCTTCCTGCCTCCTCTCTGCTCTCCTCACTCAAGCCAAGAGACATCTCGCTTGCAGCCGTTTCCGTGGAGGGTGCGGCATGAAGTGCGAACCTCCAGGCTTGGCTTGTGGACATGAAGTTCTCCTCTCGCCTCGTCTCGGAGCAAAGTGCCACGTCTACCAGCTTCCCGCAGCCTATGCAGCGGTCGAAGCTGAAGAAGATCGGCACAAGAAAGAGCAAGGAGAGTGCTTACAACCCAGCCGGTCACTCTTTGACCCCCCTGGGCCTGACACTTCTCTTCACGCGGCCTTCATCCGGCCTTGTTTTGCATCGGCTAATCAACGACAGATACCACAAACTTGAGCTCCTTTCACTTTGCCCACCAGGTCATCGAGGAAGACTACTTCGACATGTGGGCCATGGGTGACGATGACACTCCCGGCAAGACCAGCGCCATGTTCCAGGCCAACATCAAATTTCTCACACGGCAATACTGAAATTACAGATCCTAAGGCGAGTTCTGCAACGTGGCACGAGCTTTCAACATTCGGGACTGTGGAACTCTAGACCACCGTTAGCCCATCTCAAAACCTTAAACCCCAGCACGCACAGAACAATGAGCGGTCAGCCCTAAAGCTTTATCATGACCATGTCATTGCCTTTACTCACGTCACTCGCAGTTTTTGTTATGATTGTTTCGTGATGTTTGCATTCCGATACTCTGGACCCTACAAAGCCCCATCAGCAACAAGAACCCTCAACTAACCCCAAATCCCGCCACCCCAAACCCTCAAACTCCTGACAAACACACAGCCATGCAACAAACAAGTTGAACCTCGAAAGACTCAAAAGACCAACGCCTGAAACCCTTTTGATTTGCAGATGTTTGCAGGTCAACGTGTTCCTGGACTGGCTCCGTGGGACCCTACGGGAAGACAAGGAAGAAGACATGGAGGACTGGTCGTTTAGGGCTCGGGGTCGGGGTCCGTTTTGCTCGGGGGCAGCTTCTATTACATGTCTGGAGATTGATTCATTAAATTGAGCTTTGGTTGTAAGCCAAAATATGCTTTTTGAGTCTTGTTGTCTGTTCAGGATGGAGAGGGTGTTTCTTGAGGCACCGTGAGAGGATCTGCAAACCTCTGCAGATGGTTCTGCTACTTTGGGGATCTCTGGGCGGGGTTGATTTTGACCGGGAGGAATCGGCTGAGGATCCAGCGCTTAGAGCGGATGGATGGGATTACAGGGCCGGTTCGGAAAGAATACTTTGTAATAGCATCCCGGTAGCATCCCGTACCAAAGGGATGGCAACAACAAATGAAATAAGACAACAGGTATCGGATACAAAGCCTGTCCTTAAGTTGATTATCTTAGTTTTTTTCCTGGAAGAACGATTAAGAGCAAAAAGGATGGCGTCGATTTCCCTGTTAACGAAAAATCATGAGCGCAGAAGCAACAACGGTCAGGCAAGTGGGTGGGGGGTTTTGCAAGTTCCCTATTCTAGCCGATTCTAGCCCCTATATAGTTACTGTATAATCTACCCCAAGCCCTATATTCTAATATTGAAGGTCCCTATAGATTATGGGTTTAGGTACGGTGTTTGGGGCTTAGGGCTTTTGTTCAGGAGTTTGCTTGCGTTGAATGATGATGGCTTGCGGTTTTCTTCTTGAACCCAAACCAACCCCAAAAGGCCTTTATTGCAACCTTTGCCAAAAAGGGGCCTCAAGCACAATTGTTTGAGAGCCTGGGCCGGTGGTTTGCACGTAAATTCTTATTGTTCCTGCTCAGGAGGGCGAGGGCGAAGAGGAGGAGTCAGGGGAGGAGGACGAGGAGGAGGATGAAGATGTCACTCAGGTCAAGATCTCGAGACTTCCGGGATTGAATCCATACACCCTTCGACTCCACGACTTAAACCTTCAGCGTTTGATCTTGTTCCTGGAGACTCTACGATGCTACCAGACATCCGAGAAGTTGTGTAAGCAGCTATCGGGCTTGCGAACTGGAGTAGAACTTCTGATGTCGATCTGACCATAGGGCTTGGCTGGTGGGGTTTAAGGGTGAGCCTTCATTTCTAGCAAATGCTTCCGTATCGGGCCATGTAGGGCTCCTGAATGATATCATAGTGTCCGTGGAGCTGAGGCTTGGGGGTGAACAGCGCGATGAGTCAGCCGCTTTGAAGGAGGTCGTCCCTGCGTTTCATTGAGAATCGCGTGTGTGTGTGTGTATATATATATACATATATGTATGTATAACGAACAATCCAATAACAAGACCAGAAGTGAGCATGAAGCTGTACGGCTGTATGTCGAGAGAGTGTGATTGAGCCCTAGTTTGCGGGACGACGTCGCTCCTTTGAGCCTCTTAGTATCAGTTTCACCGTCCTGTTTGGCCCAGGACGTGCATTTGAATTGCTCCGCAGAACTTTATCTTTTTACTCTCTCTGGATTCTGGATGGAAAGCTGATCCCCAGATCTTCCTAGCACCTCCTGTTGAGATGTTAAAGTTGCAGCTCCCTGCAGTGTTGTAGATACCAAGCAGCAGGCAGTGTTTCGCCACAGAGCTACTGCTAAAGCGTCATGCTGCGCGGCAAACGCCCAACTCCTCGGACAGTCTTGACGCCCTGCTGCAGGCGAAAAGTCAACGTTGTACAATAATATATTATATTATATTATACTATATTATACTATATTATACTATATTATACTATATTGTGTGGCCATGACAGACAGTGAAGTCTAGCATTCCCTGTTTTGCTCCTCGATCTGCCTCCTCCGTTCAGTCCTGGCTCGAATCCGGTACTGAAGTGGTTCATAATGGGCTCAGCCGACACAACTGCCGCTCGACTTGGAGAGCTGCGCCCTGCAAGTCACATATTGGTACTGCACTCGTAGGGGTCAAATGTTCAATCTGGGGTCCTGTCCTGTGTCCACAGCAGCCGAGGATATGTCATATGACGCAGAGAAGAATGAGACAACACCTCTGCAACCAGGCACGTTAGAAGTTTTAGATTACATTCCCACCACCCCCCCCCCGATGTGCACGGCATGTGGGCTCTCACTCAGATCTCATCTCTGCGAGGGTTTGTCGGCAAACGGCTGCACGCACCAGGAGTTGCCGAGACAGCCTACTCGGGAAAAGCTGCCGATCAAATTGCCGAAGTTGACACTGACAGCCGCTCAACCCCAAACAGTGTCCTTCACATCAACTCTGGCAGCATCCATAAATGTTGGAAGATGAGAGTGGTGCTGAGCACCTCCACTAAGGAATCCTTCCACCGAAGAATCAGACCCCCAAGGGTGGATATGTGCACTTGGATGTGACCAGAATAGTATGTGTCTTGCAGCTTGTCTGCAGCTTAGGGCGGATCTTCACGCTTACTCTGTGACATCAACGACATAGCAGCACGAGCGTCTACAGCACGATGTAGCGGTGCAGGTCCTCGTGAAGGAAGCATAGGCATAGATAACTACGTACATGTGCGTTCTCTGCTCAGCTTGGTTGCCATCGATCATGGCGATGGCAAATACTCCGCACCGTGGCACTTATCTGACTTCGAGGGTTGAGCTGAGCGGGTCCGCAGTGTGGAGAATGCAAGGAGTGGAATGTAATCTGGGACCAGCAATGGACTCTGCAATGGCCTACACCTCGGGCATCTCTGCAGATTGCGATCTGCAAGTTGCAATTCTCACGGAGCGGCCGAGGATTGTGCTAGTTTGCGGCATTGCCTTCTGCTTGTCCAGCCACTCGGCAAAGCCCATCGCATCGCCGTCGCTGCATCATGCCACAGCCTTCCCGAGGCAAGCCCCTTCTCAGCTTCACGGCTGCATCGAAGTTAGATCCGAGCGAATCGCGAAGCAAGAAGAAGTTGCCACACAGCGCGAACCGACAGATTTCCTCCTTCGCCTGGGCCTGTACGTGGCCATTGGCATTGTGGTAAACTGGGCTGCCTGGATCGGCCTCGGCATGGTCCGATCCCAAGTCGACTCCTTACCCTTAGTTTAGGACTTCTTGCACCTCTTGTGACGACGGCGAATCGCGCAAGCAGGACTGGAAGCACGACTTCTTCAACGTGATTTTCCAGAAGCTCGGTTGAATCTGGTAGGCGCCGTGTTCCGGGTCTTGTTGGGTTTTTGGCATCTGGCAGTGGAGACACATCAAGCCCGCATGGATGTATGCACACATGTGCAGACAAGCCTGTGGCGAGCACAGCTGATGTGTAGCCGTCAATTGCTCTGCAGCTAGTTTCCGGTTCCAGCTGCTAGCTTGTCCCGTCCGTTTGTCGGAAGCCCCATTTTTATGCTACATGAGGATGTGGTTTGTCATTGGTTTGATGCTGTATTGCGTCATCCTGAACCCTTTGTGACTTGGACTGCATCTGTTCCTGGGAGAGGGGAGCTCTGTTGCCTTGAAAAGTGGTCTTGAGGGTAGCATTGCTGCATCTGAGCATCTCAGGCGATCCTACTTGGCGGAAGACACGAAAAACCTGGAAGAACACGCAAAGGAAAAGGGGCCCTATACCTCCGCTACTTGGCACCAAGAACGGACAACGTTGGACACTGCTCCCTCTCTGCAATGCCCGAAACGAACCAAGTCGTGGCTTGGGGCGCCGCCAGAGGAGGTGGGAGAAGCTCATGCATGAAGGCACCAATTCGTGATTTGCCCTGATTCTGCGAGGGTATGTTCAATAGCATCCTTATGATGCTCTTTGTGGTCATTGCCATCGGCACCGCGGCGGCACGCAGCGACACTGCCCCGGCCCGGCCGATTCACCAAGCCCTAACCCAAAAAAAATACTACATCCTAAGCTACCTTAAACAAAATCCCTTCGACCTCAAGTAGAAGAGCATCGGGTCCGAGTCATCCAGCATGCTGTAAGTAGCATATGCTACAACTAGATCCATAGTCCATTCCGTATACATGAGAAATTACATGTTTAGAGCACGAGCAAGTTTGTGTGTGTGAATATATAAACAAACACCTACAGGTGTATATATATATATATACACATATATGTATGTAGATAGATAGATAGATAGATAGATAGGTCATTGTTGCACTTTAGATTGATACCCATGGCCCATATATACATGTATATATATATATATACGTGTGTCTCCAAGCTTGCGGAATATTATGATGATTGCCCAGCAGGGTGCTCGCGGCATCGAATCAACATTTGATTTGCCCTGGCGGCTGCTTTGAGGCATTGTGTGCGCGGTTTTCTTACCGATGATCGTCAACCCTTTTCTTGCACCTGCGATCCTCAACGCTTCGAAGACGCTGGGCGGCTGCTTGTTTCAAATGGATCTCTCAGACCCTCAATCCGAACCCATGCATAAACAAGCCTGTGCAAAACCCCAACTAAACCCAAAGCCCTAAACTCCAAACTCCAGCAGTGCTTGCTGTTGTTCGTTCGATGTTCGAGCCCCAGGCGCCGGAAATGTTTGGGGTCTGCCTAGCACATATCAAGAGGCGGAGGACCCGTGGGGAGGCGGGCTTTGGCAATACCCAGGTTCAGGGTTTTCGGGTTCAGGGGTTTACGACGGTTTACGACTTTGGATTCAGCGGCAAACTAGAGTACACCCTGCTTCAGGACCAACTGGAACCGCTTGCCCGAAGCCCGAATTCAGCCCTGAGCCCATGGCTATTCACAGAAGCAAAGCTGCTCCGTTGTGCCCTTACGTTATGGTTCTTGCACGCAGGACTTCGTAGCTTGCCTCTGCCGCTACGCCTTCCTCACATTATCAAACTTGTTCCTCATGAGGCGCGACGGGTTTGGGGGGATGAAGCCTGTTCCAGTTTTTGTTGGATGCATGTGTCTCCGCCGATGGGGTTCCTTCCGCACCTCCTCGCGAGTGCCGCAGCAAGATCTCGCCCAGAGATAGATGTCGCTTCTGTCCAGCACTGCCAGCAGTAGCAGTAGCACATCTCGATTGCAGGGAGAGTGGTCGGAAGGAATAGAGTATGTTTGCTCATGGTGATTCAAACACACATACACACGCACACACACACATGCATGAGCTCACATACATGCAGGCAGACAGACAGACACACAGACAGACATTAGATAATGTGCATAGAGCATATGGCATATGCATATATATATATATTGTTTTTTTTCTCCTTCTCTCTGTGTATACACGTACATACTACAAGCACATACATGTAATGTATACACACATACAGCATGTGTATGTATACAATGTTTTTCATTTCTTCATTTACAAAGCTGCAGACTGCGTGAACCTGTCTCTCCGTCCATCTGGCCATCTATGTGCATGCCTGTCCGTGTCTCGCACATACCTCAGCACATAACATATACATGAGCGTACATGTCTACAAGTGCACATTTATGATGTGGCTGATGTGTGTATGTGACGTACATACCTGCCTACCTACTTACCTACCTACCTACCTACCTACTTACCTACCTTCTTACCTACTTACCTACCTACGCACATACATACATGCATACATACATATATACACACACACATGCCTGTGTAGACGTGTAGCCCCGACAAAGTGCGCGCATAAAACAAAGCCAAAACAAATGAACAGACGGATCTAGATTATGGCCGCATCGTTGCAGCACGCCAGCACACAGTCGCTACACAAGTGCGTCATCATCGATAGTCTCTTCACTACTATGCAAAATTTTAGCTAACATCCAATGTGAAAAATGTTGTAATCACGGCTCGTGCTAATACGTAGTGCCAAGGAGAACTGATAGGAACGGTGCTTTTGTAATTTAGCGGATGCAGTTAGCAGCCTTGGGTTGACCTTGACACGCGCAGGGCGATTCGTTCAACCAACATCAAGCCCAGTTTCATCCCGTGGGTGATGCTGGCGAACTCCGCCGTGTCGCTGCAAAATTATCTCGGCCCTTCTTATTTTTAACAAGCGTGCACATGTGGCACGAAGTGAGACGATCGACTCGGGTGCACAGGTCCATAGCATGCAAGGGTTGGGAATCCCGAATGCAGCTCGAGTTATCAAATCTTGTGCGTGCTAGTCGCTGCAAGCCACTAGTCACATGAGCCGCCGGACCCCTACTGTACCTGCAGACTTGTGCTGTCGCTAAGTCTTGAGTCAAGCGATCATGATGAAGACTAATGTTGTTGCTGTCTTTGTCTTCGTAGCCATTGGGATGCAGTGACTATGTTCCGCATGACTATGATTCGTTATGATTCTGACGAAGCGTCCGAGGTAAATCGATCCGGCTTCTATAGAGGCCCGGAAGAGAGGCCGCCAGAAAAGAACATTGTGTATGCCGGTTTTGTCCAAGGGTCAGAGTCAGCACAGAATCTGACATCTGAGACCATTCCACTTGCTGGACCTGATGATCTTGAGAAGCTTGGCCCGGATTTGCTATGTGAAGACATACACACGTGCAGACACGCACACAGACACACAATACACACATACATACATACCTACTTACCTACCTACGTACATGCATTCATTTGTCGCCCGCCTGCCACCCCTGCCCCGGGCCCCGGCAACAGCCCCGGGTGCAGCCGCTCGCGGGCGGCTGGCCCGGACCCCCTCCACGGCCACTTTTGCGGAGTAGCCGGACCCAGTCTTATCCCGAAATCCTATTCGAAACCCTATCGGCCCGGACCCTAGTTTAGCTTTAACTATAAGAGGAAATGGATAGGATTTGAGAAATACGATTTAGCGTCGGTTTTGGGGTCCCGGGACGATAAGATTTAGATTCTCTATTTGTCCGGAGTTGTCTGTTATTTTTTTGGCGCTCCCCCAAAGAGAATCTTTATCTATCTAGCCAAGATGAGATCGAACCCACCCACCCACCCACCACCTCTACATCCCCAAACCCCTAGACTTGAAACCCCCAAGAGCCAAAAAGCCCTAAATATCCCGCCTAAAATTCAAAAGCTTTGATAATCTAAACCCTGTGGTTCTGGACCGTCGCAAAAGTTTATGGATAGTTCCCGATGAACACAAATCCGTTGACCGACTACTACTAGTACCAGTACCAGTGCCAGTGCCAGTACCAGTACCAGTACCACTACTACT